TTCCCTTTGGGGTTGCTGTAGGTGATCCAGAAGTCTGTTTTTGAGGCTTGTTTACATGTCTTCTCATTTCCACAGTGGGGAGGGGGTGAGTGTGCTTCTGGTACCCACGCAGCTCACCTTCTCTGCCCTAGGAGCTTGGGATGGCGGCAGGGGAGCTTCCTTATGGGTCCTCTTCAACCAACATCTTACCAGTGCTACTGCTGCAAGCATTTCAGAGGAGAAAGTGAGAGCAGTCAAAGTACTTAGGAGCTGTTATCATGGTGATCCAAGATAATTCTTATTAGGAACAGCTGTGTTCACTCCAAAAGGCTCATTGTAAGCCTGCGCATCTTAATAGCGTCCACTTGACCTATCTCTTTATAAATCATTTGAAAATTTTACTGCTATTGGTTAGTATTTATGGAATATAACATTCATACAGTTCATTCTACATTTCAATCTGTCCAAACTGTTGGAGCTCTTATCACAGTAATTTAGTGAAATGCTAAGGGAAGTGAGGTGGGGCAGGGAAAGAAAGTAAAATGATCTAGACAAAGAAAAATTTCTTCTGCTCATTGTTTTGAACAAGCACAGTTGTTCAAGAAAGTATACTTGGTTTGTATAAATTTGTATAAACTGTAATTTCTTCATCCAGGGTTCTACAAAGTACTTAACTGCCTTGCATTCAGGCAATATGTGCTTTTATATACTTTCCCTGTCCTCATTCCTAACACTTACTCTGCTACCATCTTCACACCTTATGATTGTTCTGCAGAATGTTTGTTGGGATGAACTGGACAATGAGTGTGTGCAGGCTGCTAGGATTTTGTTTATTCTTAGACCTATTCCTCCATCTGGTGTAAGAACTATCGTACAAGAAGCATACAGTAAAAACTGTGGAATAAAGAGTAATGGTTGAGGAGCACAAAAATCCAGAAATAAGATCCCTGAAGGATAGTGTTGTGTGCTAGTATTGCAAGGTGTGGGAAGGAAATGGAACTTTCTTTAGTGGAGAGGATGGTTCATGCTAAGAAGGAGCACGAGATTACTTAGAGGAGCAAGGTGACCATCAGCTGCCATATATCAGGCCACAGAAGAGTGCAGGAAGGTCCTAACGGAGCCAACGTGGCCTGCATCCTGAAGTTTGGCAGCTATAGAGAAGTTCTGTCAGGGAGAACAAACAGGGATGGAGACTGCATATTTGGCTTGGAGTAGTAGATGGGGAGAAAGATTGTCCCTGTGGAAAGAGGTGATCGTCCTGGGCTGAGTTTGATACTATTAAGTTTTCATTCTGGGCTTAATATTTCCTGTTAGGGGGAAAAGTATGGCATGATTCATATTTTCAACATAAGCCAGTGTCTTAGTCTTTTCTGTTACTATAACAGAATATGTAAGACTAAGTGATTTATTAAAAAAAAGAGAGATTTATTTGTCTCAGCTCTGAAAGCTAGAAGCATGGTGAAAGTAGAAGGGCAAGTGGGCACGGACATTAACATGTGTTTAGGTGGGGACAAACCATATTTAAACCACCACAGTCATGTTACCTAGAACCACATATCCTCCTTCTGCTGAAAAGTAAGTTCCTGTTTCCATTGGACCTTCAAAACAAGGTGTCACGCTAAATGTCTGAGAAGCAGAGGTGATAGTGGTCCCGTTGAGCTGGAGATGGCTGAGACAGCTGCTGAAACTGTAGACGGAGTTAATCTGAAAGAAGAAGACTTTTTTTTTAACATCATGTTCTCAATAGCTGCACTACAGAGAAGCAAAACGAGAGGGTTTGAGTCTGGAGACAAACCAAGTAATTCTTAGTTATTTTAGCTGTCAGAATACATCTCCAGGTGGTTATTTTTAACTAGCTCTTTGAGCCTGGAATTTTGAATTTGGTAGTATCAGCTTGTCATAATTAAGCTGTAAACATTTTTACATATACCATGACAAAGTAAATCGTAGCTGTGGCTCTCAAATTAAACATTGAAAGTATTATAGTTTGTTTTCCTTAAGAAATGACAGCTGTGCCTAAGATCACTAATGTTGATGAGGGTTAGCAAAACTCTTAAATCTAAATAAACACCAGACAATTTGTATTTTTGGCTTCATCGCCTGTTATTACAGTTGAAAATTTATCATACCATAGGATATGAAAATTGGGCTACTTTAGATAACTAATTTCATACCACATTTTTAAAGCAGGAGTTGGAGCTGTTTACCTAAAATTTAATTATAATGTGAACCACTTTTTTGCTTTATCTACATATGTTAGTAGATATTAGAAATGCATTAATACTTTGTACTAAATTTGTATGCTAAGAAACATTCCTTTTATACATTACTTTTACTGTTAGCTTTACAAGTACAGTATTTTAAATTTTAAATTACAAAAATAATATTTCTTACAATCTTTTCATTTCTCCCCTGTAGTTGCTACATTCCTTGCCCATTTACAAATTGTGAGTGTGTGTAAGAAACAAAAATGGAGTTGTAGTTTACATAATGACCTGAAACATTTATGTTTCAAATTACCATCTAATGGAACAACTTGCTTTCTGATTTTGATCTCTTTATATTAAAGGTATAGGTACTTGCTGAACAAATAAGATTTCTTTGAGACATACCTTTTATGACACTTTATACCTCTGAAAAAATTTTAAATGTCACCTGTATCTGAAAATCAAAAGATTATTCCTGATTTTGTAATGCCCCAGGGCAGGCAGACAGCTTGTAGACAAAACTCACTTCGATGCCTCTAGTAAAAATTTATTTCATAAGTTATGAGGGCCTGGGTTAAGTATTGTGACTGTTAATCCTGAGCTGTCAACTTCATTGGATGAAGAAACACCTATCAGATTAGTAAAGCAAGCTCCTGGGAGTGCGTGGGTCAGTCATGGAGGCAACCTTCGGTACTATGTATGGCTCCAGCCCATTCCTTTCTGGCACTGTTAACCTGCTCTGCTTCCAGCCACCATGAACTAAATACCTTTGCTCCAGCATGCCCTTCCACCGTGTTGTTTCTGCCTTGGAGTCAGCCGACTGTGGTTAAATTCTCCAAAACCATGAGCCAAATGAAACTTTGCCTTCTTTACATTGTGGGTGGTGGGTTTTGTAACTCCATGATGGGGAAGCTGATTAATACAGTGATCCTCCAATTCTAAAGAGGAATGACTCTACCTTATCATGTCTAGTTTACCTGGACATTTTTCATAGCCCTTCTAGGAGCCACTCCTCCCAAATAAATGGGACCCTTAATTTTCCAGGCTTTTCTAGTAGGAGGAAGACTTTCTTCTAGCACTCGAAGACCATCAATGATTAGTCGGCCACTGCTCTTTTCCCGAACAAATATCACCTAAGAGAGAGAAGGAAAATAGCACACCTTAGGTACATTTTGAGATTGGAGAAAAGGCTGTGCTGTCTCTGCTACTGCAGTGCTGTGGGAAATCTGCATAAAGTCCATGAGAAAGTGTTCCCTTCTCTGATGGTCAGTTTTGTCTCTTCCTCTGCTTAGTAGCCTTCTGACTATCTAGTTTTAGGAAACTTTATCCTTTATTTGGTTCAGTTTTGATACCTAGCAGATGACTTTGTTGTGAACTGTCTCTAGGCCTCCTTGCTTTATACACATTATGTGTCTTCTGGCTCACCTTGGGCTTCATGTACCACTTCATGTATGAGAAATGATTCATATATTTTCTGACCTCTAGATAGAATGATTTAAAGGTACAGGTCTAATTTATGAATACAGCTTATATTTACCAGGTTTCTCTATGAAGCTTCTCCCAGCTGACCAGGCCACATGTTCTCTCACCCTCTCAAACTGCTCGTAATTAATTAAATTCATCTTGGATTGCTTATTCTTATCACTATACACACACTGATTTCTTCCAATATTTAGGTGACAGCCTGTCTTCCTAACTGTCTTCCACAGCTTAGCCTATGATAGACATTCAGTAATGATTGCTGAAAATTAAGAACCTGAAACCAGTGGGAAAAATAGAGTAAAAAAGTGACTGGAGAGGCAATAGCACACATATGACACTTAGAAGCCCCTCATCAAGGTCTGCAGGAACTTGGATGATAGTGGTGGAACAGCAAGCAAAATACCAACCGTGGGAAGGCAAGCTGAAGGAGATGCCCAATAGATGAAATCCATTAACAGGGGTGTTTAGAATAAGAAGAAGGGCCACTTCTTGATCCCAGCACTCCTTATAGCCCAGGTCTAGAGAACATGCCATCTTGGAAAAAGTTCAGATCCCTCTGAGGGAAGAAGCCTAGAGAAGGAGCAGCTGCCAGGCTACCGCCTGGTGCCCAGTCTGACAGCCACCACCCAGTGTCCACCCGTCCTAACTCGCCTACCACTGGGAAATGGAGCCTAATGAACAAGATATTCACCAAGGTGTGCCTCCTTAGATCAGCACACTAAGGAAAGTGCAAGCCAGAGAATCACTCAGAGGGCAGTGACTGAGTTAAGACCCACAAGCCCTGGTGACAGAGAGGAGCAAAAGACATGGTCTTAGACAGGCACTTGGAACCAGACACTGAGGGATCCATGAGACAGTGAGAACTGCAGGGGCTTGCAGTAGTTGTCACCGGTGGGGTCTGGGAGTGGTGAAAAGTCACTGAAGCAGGTATTCTCCCACCATTCCCCAAACACCACTGAGCTCTGTACCTGTGTGAGCTCCTTCTGGCTGCCTCTGACATGCTACTGAAGGCCTTCCAAACAGAAGGGCTCTTCTCCACTGAGCCCTAAGTACCACTGAATTCACGGGCTGTAATCACAATGGACACTGCCGAAACCCACTGGACTACAAAACACTATTTTGAAAACTTATATTCCAACAATTTGGATAATCTAGATGAAATAAACAAATTCATAGACATATAAGACTTACAAAAATTAAACTAGTAAAATATAAAAACCCTGAATAGACTAACAATAGGCAAAAAGGTTGAGGCAGTAATAAAAACTCTACCAACTATGAAAGTCCAAGATCTGATGAATTCACCATTGAATTTTCCAGAACTTCAGAGATGAAGTAATTCCAACATTTCTGAAACTCTTCTATGAAACTGAAAGGGAAGAAACTATCAGACTCATTCTCTGACACCCAAATCACCCTAATACCTGAACCAGACAATGACTCAACAAAAACAAAATTTACAGGCTAGTTTCCTTAATGAATATAGATGCAAAATCCTCAACTAGATATTCATAAACAGAATTTGATGAATCATTAAAAAGATCATACATATATCATGACTAAGTTAGCTTCATCGCAGGGATGCAAGAATGGTTCAATATATGTGGGCCAATAAATGAAACACACCACACAGACAAGTAAGGACAAAAATCATGTGAAAAAAGCTTTTGACAAAATCCAATACCCATTCATGATAAGGCACTGGTGAAACAGGTATAGAAGGACTTCATCTTGATCTGAGGAAAACAATTTATGACAAACCCATAGCAAATTTCATGCTAAGTGGGGGAAAACTGAAAGCATTCTTTCTAAAATCAGGAAGATGACAAGGTTGTTCTCTCTTCCATGCTCATTCAATACAGTACTCAAAAGTTTAGGCAAAGCAATTGAGCAATAGAAAGGAAAGGGATATGAATAGGAAAGGAAGAAATCAAACTATATTTGCAGATGAGATGATTTTTCACATAGAAGATCCAGAAAACTCTAACAGAAGACTCTTACTAATAAACAAATTCAGCAAAGTAGCGGGATACAAAATTAACACACAAAAAGCAATAGTGTTCCAGTACACCAATAATGAACTTAACAGGAAAGAAATCAGGAAAACAACGCCTTTTACAATAGCTTCAAAAAAATTTAAATACTTGGGAATCAACCTAACCAAAGTGGTGAAAGACCTCTATAATGAAAACTATAGTATTCTGAAGTAATAATTTGAAGAAGAAAATGGAAAGACAGTCTTTGTTCTTGGACAGGCAGAATCAATATTGTCAAAATGATCATATTACCAAAAATGACATATAGATGTAATGAAATTCCCATCAAAATACCCTGAGCAAAAAGAGCAATGTGGGAGGCACTATAACTCCATGTTTCAAATTAAACTCTAAAGCTACAGTAATATAAACAGTACGGCACTGGCACAAAATAGACATGTAAATCAGTGGGAGAGAAAAAAGGTGCAGAAACAACCCTGCACACCATTAGCCATCTGATCTTTGACAGAGGAGCTAAAAATAAATGCTGGAGAAAAGATAGCCTCTTTAATAAATGTTGCTGAGAAGACTAGTTGTCCACTTGCATAAGAATAAATCTAGACCCATATCTCTCACCCTGTACTCAAATAAAATCAAAATGGTTCAAAGATCTAGATGTAAAAACAGAAACACTAGAGCGTGCGGAGCTGTGCACGGGGCGGGAGGCGCAAGCTCGGGCACGGGGGCTGCCTGCCGCGGGGTTCCAGAGCCCGCCGGCCGCAGGCCTCCGGTCTGCACCCCTGGCGCCTCGGCTGTGCCCGGAGCGAGCGCGGGGCCGCGTCCCTCAGGTAGCGGCCGCCGGCGGCGCGGGCTCTGGAGGTCGCAGGTGCCGCGCGGAGTCTGGCCCAGTGGGCGCTGCCGGGGCCGGGCCGGGCGGGTCGGGCTTCGGGGCCGCGTCCGGGGCCGGGCGCCGGCGAGCATGGACAAAAAGTACCTGCCCGAGCTGATGGTGGAGAAGGACTCGCTGGACCCGTCCTTCACGCACGCCCTGCGCCTGGTGAGCCGAGAAATAGAAAAGTTTCAAAAAGGAGACGGCAAGGATGAAGGAAAGTACATTGAGGTGGTGATTAATAAGAACATGAAGCTGGGACAGAAAGTGTTAATTCCTGTAAAACAGTTTCCTAAGTTCAACTTTGTGGGGACACTTTTGGGTCCAAAACTTTTGGCAATTCTCTGAAGCTTTTACAAGAAGAAACCTTGACAAAAATGTCCATCCGTGGAAAAGGCTCCATGAGAGACAAGGCTAAGGAAGAAGAGTTGAGGAAAAGTGGAGAAGCTAAATACTTCCACCTCAATGACGATCTCCACGTCCTCATCGAAGTGTTCGCCCCACCTGCAGAAGCTTACGCCCGCATGGGACATGCTTTGGAAGAAATCAAAAAGTTTCTCATCCCTGACTATAATGATGAGATCAGGCAAGCACAGCTGCGGGAATTAACATATTTGAATGGTGGATCGGAAAATGCAGATGTTCCCCTAGTTCGAGGGAAAGCTACCTTGCCTACAAGAGGTGTGCCAACCCCAACCATAACCAGGGGAAGAAGAACAGTTACAGCCCGGTCAGTTGGAGTTGGGGTTCCACGAGGGACACCGACAACCAGGGGAGTCCTTTCTACCCGAGGGCCAGTGAGCCGGGGAAGAGGCCTTCCCACGCCCAGAGCAAGAGGAGTCCCCCCCACTGGGTACAGACCTCCACCACCACCCCTGCACAGGAGGCCTATGGAGAATATGACTATGACGATCGATACGGAACTGCTTATGATGAACAGAGTTACGATTCCTACGGTAACAGCTACAGCACCCCAGCCCAAAGTGGCACTGATTACTATGATTATGGCCATGGGCTCCGCGAGGAGACTTAGGATTCCTACGGACAAGAGGAGTGGACTAATTCCAGACACAAGGCACCTTCGGGAGAACAGCAAGGGCGTCTACAGGGACCAGCCATATGGCAGATCCTGATTGTACTGTCTGATGTTGTGCAATGGCCAATCTCCACCGTCCTGTATACTGTTCAAAGTAATTTTTTCTATGAACAATCCCTTTTTAAATAAATAAAAATGTTTAAAATCTGAATGGATGGAACTTAAAACTACTCTGTCGAAACATCATCCTGGTCAGGAAAAAAAAGACATGTAAAATTTTTATTTCCAGTCTGTATATGAAAAAATAGGTCATCAAAAGGAAAAAAATAACTTTGATTAACTAGTGTTAAACAAAAAAATAGGTTTACTAAATATGTCAATCCATTCTTTTAACATAAGTCACACTTTCATTTTAAAAGTCTCCATAGAATTTAGTTATTTTATCTTTCAGCCATATGCTAGGTTTTTTTCTCTTGCCAACATGAGTAAAAAGGGAAGCCAATTACAAGCGCCAATAATGTGGTATTCTTTTGTAACTCAAGTCTTGAAATGTTCTGTAGTGTTAAGCAAAGTCTCCTCTTGCTTGATACTAAATAAACTTTTGAAAGAAAAAAAAACAGAAACACTGAATCTGCTGGAAGATAAAAAATAAGACACTTGAAGACACAGACACAGGCAATGACTTCCTGAAGAAAATCCCAATTGTACAAGAAATAATATCAGTAACAAACAAATGGAATTATATCAAATTAAAAAGTTCTGCACAGCCAAGGAAACAACTACCAGAGTGAAGACACAGCTGACAGAATTGGAAAAAGTTTTTGCCAGCTACTCCTCTGATAGAGAACTAATATCTGTAATACACAAATAACTAAAAGAAAATTAGAACCCCAAAAGCTAAAGCCACAATCAAAGATGGGCAATTGAAGTAAATAGACACTTCTCAAAAGGAAAACTACAAATGGACAATAAGGAGGTGAAAAAGTGTTCAGCATCTTTCGTCATTAGGGAAATGCAGATCAAAACAACACTAAGATTCCATCTTACTCCAGTAAAAATGACTAATTCAAGGAGAGAAAAACAAAAAATCCTGGTGATGATTGGGGAAAAGGAACCCTTCTGCTCTGTTGGTGGGAATGTAAGCTAGTATAACCATTATGGAGATCAGTATGGAATTCCTAAAAAAAAAAGAATTCCATTTGATCTTTCTATACTTTTCCTTTGTATTTTCCCCAAAGAGTTAAAGTTATCATATTACAGTGATACATGCATACTCATGTTTACAGCAGTGCAATTTGCAATAGCTAAGTTCTGAAAACAGATGAGATAATTATCAACATATAAACAGATAAATAAAATATGGTACACATATAAGCAGAGTATTACTCAGCCATAAAGAAGGACAAATTTGAGTCATTTGTAGGAAAATATATGGATCTTGAGACCATAATGTTAAGTGAAATAAAGCAGACACTAATGGTTAAGTATTGCATGATTTCTCTTATGTGAGAGACCTAAACTAGAAATAAAATGTCTAGGAAAAATTATGGAAATTTTAGGAAATTTAGGAAAATTAAAATTTAGGAAAAATTATGAGAAAAGGAAAAGGAGAATTATGAGAAAAGGAAAAATTATGAGAAAAGAAAAAAATGGAAACAAAGTCTATGTAAATAGGGAAGGGAGCACAGGGAATGGGGAAAAAATAAGAACAAAGCTACATCTTGTACAGGTACAAGCACCCAATGATAAATGTAAACGTATTGTATACCTAAAATGTACCAATGAAAGAATTTAAGCAAAAAACAAGAAATAAAAATTAAATAATTAATAAATAATAAGGAACAAAATGAAGGTGAGTTGGTAGGAAATTGAGAAGTAGATTATTTTAGAAATATGGAAAAGGATCCTGGTAAAGGGGGAGGCAGGGAAAAGGAACAAAAAATGATCAAGATACTTTATATATTCATATATGTCCAATTTCCCAAAACAAATGTACTTATGTATTGCAAATATATACTAATAAAAAGAGAAGAAAAGAAAAAAAAGAAACTAAACTTTATGTTGGTTACCGTTCCTTTGGATAAAATACTAATATTCAATCTTTGTCTCTTTTTAAAAAACGCATTTTAAGATTTTTACAAGAAATTAATATCTTTTAAATTGAACTCTGATGATACAGCAGCAGAATATTTTAACCAGATATTTTTACGGAGACCAGTGGTGGAGTGTCGGTGTCTGTCCCCTGGACAATGGTGGATGTTTGCTGGGAACACTGTTTTCTACTTTCAACTTACATCATGCCACAGTCCATCATTGTACCTCTCTTGACTTCTAATCTTCAGTTTCTCTTGGCCAACATTAAACATGAAAACCAAGCGGCCATTAGCCAAGAATAGGGTCATGAAGTTGTTCTCTTCTTGATCCGAGACATAGAAAATCATCCCATGGGAGGATCGAGTTTTCAGACGGATGGAAAACTGAGATCTGGTAAGTAAAAAATAAAATGAAGCTCATTATACGTAAAATGAAACGGAGGACAATCTTTAGCTTCTTCTCAAAGTAATATGAAATAAAGAACAATAGTCATTCTAACTCTCAGTAGCATTATTTTTAACTATCTGTTAGTATTATTTGTGAATATGGGTAAGCATGGCCCATTAAAAATATAACTTTTTCTCCATTCCCTTATGCAACAGGGATAGATTGCATGTTTATGAAAAAGTATCCTCTTAGTTAAGAATCTTATTTCACTTTGCTTTGAAAAATTGGCTGAACTTAGAAAAATCTATGTTAAAGAAGCTTATCTGTGAGGAGAAAATACCACCAAGTAATAACTATTTCTTGCATAGAAATAGTATTTATATACCATCTCAGTTACTGGTTTTTTCTCCAGTAAAAATGAATTAATGGATATCAGATATTAAAAGCAAACACCTAAATGTGTGGAAATGTGTGTGTAAAAAAAGAAAACTTTGTAGAAATTTAGCTCCAAGCATGGACAAGATATATTTGTTAGATTAACTTCTAGTTTGATTAGCTCTACATTCTTGCTGAAGAATATAAAGCACTTACTCTGCCTATTGGGTAAACAGCAAATGAGAATGCATTAGAGGTTTCTTGTTGAATGCATTGCCTGTATGCATGGTTAAAAGGGGTACATAATGCCTACGTACTGATATTTGGGTGCTAAAACTACAAAAAGAACTCTATAAATAATATTAAATAACTGGAGATTCGTAAAATAGTGCGAAGAAGTGGTGGAATTTGAGATATTAGGCAGGCCAGAGACAGACAAGGGTGTTTGTACTTTGATCTTTTTTCTTAGTAACCTAGCAGTTCCAGTGCACTCCCTTTTACAATCCAAAAGCAGTTGGTATGTGGGAGGGCAGATGATGTCAGGGGCAGATGCTGAGTTATTTGAAATCTGCTCCATCTTCCTTTCTTTTTCTTTTTTTTGGTACTGGGGAATCAAACTCAGGACCTTGCACTTATAAGGCAGGCACAGTGCCACTGAGCTAAATCGTCGGCCCCTTCCTTTCTTTTTTGATCAGACATATGAACTCCTGAAATCATACTGTTTTATGCACCTCATGTTTGGGCAGAAAGTCACAGAGAATATAATTTCTTGAAAAGCATGAGTCACACACTACTTCTATAAACTCTGATGGCAAAAATAATAGGATCATGGTGACATGGGAAGGAAAGACCACAGGATAGAAGAGGACATGGCAATTGGGGGTAGAGCATGGCATGAAGTTTCTGGAAGTACAGTGTGTTACTTTACTTTTCACCAAAATCTTCTTTCAAGTATTCGAACTCCTGCCGGCTGCTGGCTGTCCCTCCGTACTGGTACGCATGCTCTATTGCTCTTGGGCTGTTGGAGAGGTGGCAGGGAGATTCTCGCGGAGCTTTCCGCTCCAGGAATTTCAGGCCAACCGGGTCCCATGAAGGTGCATCTTTACTTTTCCCTCCCTATGAAGATAGGAAATATGTCAAATTAAAGGATAAGAATATACACTAGCAGCAAAAATTAATTTTTGATGTCTTCACCATTAGTAATAACAATAAAATAATAGTTATTATTTGTGCTTTTTCCATTCATGAAATTGAACCTACAGCAGTAATTGCTCTATCATTTAAAATAGGAAAGTTGGCAACAAAATAGCCCAGAGAGAATCAATCAATAAAATCCTCATATAGGAACAAGATCACTTTAGCACACATGCACACATGTTGTTATTACTTATACATGCTGGGTAAAAAGTTAAGACATTCAGCAATATCTTCAAAATACATTTTTGGTGATAGGATATGTAGCAAAATTTTGTGTGACAGAGTGAATATACAACAACTTTTAAACATTTGTGCTCTTCAAATTGCACTACTCATATTAAAATTTAGAGTTGTGAAACTATAGGCTATTATTTCATGTAATTTAGTCTTAATTTTTTTTTTTTTTTTACAAAGTTTATTTGAAAAAGTAAAAGTGAAGTACAAGAGAAACTAGTTCTGCAGAATGAGCTCGGGCCTAGTAGAAGAGGAAAAAGCAAGGTAAACGTGTGGCCTGCAGGACACAGGGCGGGGGATCGTGAGGACAGCCACAGTGGCCTAGTCTTAATTTCTGAAGCAAAATAAAAGTAAATGAAAATAAATTCAAGCATTTAATATTTATTAATGTATTCAAGAAAATATTTATTGGGTATTGGATGGGTGGAAGGGAAAGGGAAAGAAATCTGTGTTTTGTCCCCCTTCCAAGGGTGGCATGGTGGGAATATGACGGGGAGAATTGATTCCTGTTTTCTAAAGATCTAAAAATTAACTGGAGAAATAGGTGTATAAGCAGCAAATTGAAAAACAGGCCGGTGTCAGACTGAAAGGACCTGAGGTGATGTGCTGGAGACCGAGTTTTGTTTTTAGGTGATAAAGAGCCATACAGGCTTTACAAACAGGGAGGAGCCAGATCTGACCCAGTTAAAAACAGAGATTGCAGCAAAAGAAGGGATTATAAAAAGAAAATGTTCAGCAGCAGAAGACAGAATGAGAGATAGGATTAGATGTGAAAGATAACTTCTGGTTCAGGATTATTGAATGAACATACACATTTTGTTTCCCTTATCCCTAATTCCCACTGAAATGTCTGAATACACACAATCGTACAACCATAGCATAATTCCAGCACTCAGGAAGTCTGGGGCAGGGGGAATCTCAAGTTCCAGTCTCCCTTGGGAAATTGAGTGACATCTGGTCTCAAAACAAATAAATGAAATAAAGCAATACACTCAAAAAAATTAATATCCACAGCAGACCTGGAAATCTAGGAAGATTTTACTAGCAGAACAAATCAGTGTGCAATTTCTGGAAGATATAATGTATAATGAAACAGTAAAAATAAGACCCTTAATCTCATGTTTGTGGAAGACAAGACTTCCATAAAAGTCAGTGTCAGCAAAAAAATTCCAGAATTATCCTTAAAATCCAGATGGAGTGGGCAGAGGGCAGGTTTGTTAGAGGGCAGACAAACTGTAAGGCAGAACGCCCTGCACCAGAGCAGCCCCACGCTCATGGTGGTGGCTGATGGAGAAAGGGAGACAGGGCTCAAAGATGGCTCATCCTAAAGGAAAGCCCACCTTCCCGCCACCATTCTCTCTTCCCTCCCTCACATGGTTACCAGGACACAGAACCTGATTCACTCCCACAGAAGCAAGGTTTTGTCCTTGGATGGAGAAAATACAGAGTTAGCAGTAGTTTTGTGTCCACACCCTGATTTCTAAATAATTACCACAGTCTCAAGCCCCGAATAGGCAGAATATGCTGGAGTGAGGCTGCAGGGGGGCCCTTTTCCTTTAATTTGCTTTCAGAAATTTCTTATAAACCCATGCTATGTTCCAGTCACAACAGACTCTTATAGCAGGAAATAAGATCCCTGTTGTCCCACTGAAGGGCCCAGCTGGAAATGCTTTGTACTGGGCCTGGAGGGTGGGGGTGAAAGTACAGAATGGGAAGAGTTGTGAACTTTTTTTTCAACACTGGCTGCACCCTATTCTCCCTGTTGTGGGGAGAGAATCTTGCTCTTTCTCAACAAAGGCATCTATTTAGCTATGAGAAGAGTGCAATAGCGAGTGAGCCTCCAGGGGGTCCGAAAGCATGGGGCTATCTGGAGCGCAAGGGTCTCATTGACCGGCCCTCCCTCCCTCTGGCTCAGTGGAGGAATATACAGCCGAGGTGGCAGCTGGGTCTTATATGCTGCAAAAATGAAAACACTCTGGAATCTTTCTATTTGGCAACTGTTATGGCTAGTGTCTACATGTCCCCCCCAAAGCCTCACATGATCATAGGTGGAAGCTAGAGTGTGTGATGCTGGGGTTAAGGGCATGTGATTACTAAACCAGAACACTGATTGGTTTGGCACCACCCTATTCCCAGTAGTCTGGATAAAAGGGGCAGAAAGACTCTGTGAATGTTCCCTTTTTGCTTTTTCTACCATGTGGGTACCATGGACTGTTTCTCCTCTGTGATGCCCCTCTGCCATGCCTCCCTGCCTTGGAGCCAGCCGATTACAGCCTGAAACTTCTACTAACTGTGAGCTGAAGTAAACCTTTCCCCCTTTAACTCTGGGTGTTGGGCATTTTGTCTCAGCAACGGGAAAAGTAGCTAAGACAGCAATCAAATAGTATAAGTCTTTTATGGATTATGCTCTTGATGATCAAAAGGACAAGTTACAACTTAATTACTTCAATACCATACAAAAATTTAGTTTTCTATCCTAAAATGTGTGCCTGTGTGGGGATTCTTACTCAACCTCACTAAACTCTGATCTAACCAGTGTAATTTTTCTTCTCTGGGGGCCCATTAGTTGGAATCTCACTGGTTGTACCAATTTCAACTTAGCAAGATTGTTTTTTAATGTGTATCAGATAGCAGCCAAGCTGGTCGAGCTACTGAAGAAAAAAAGAACAATGTGATAAAGATATGGGGTATCTTACATAATGCAAGATAAAACAGCACAGCAGGATACCACCAGGGGCCAGGAGAAAAGGAAAACTAAAATCATGGAATTCCCTTTCTGGAGGTTTCTAATTTTGTTCAGCTTTGTTTCTTACTGTGCCTGCTTTTATTCTGCTTTCTCTGCAGGACAGCTTTTTTCATTCTTTGTAGAAAGCAGCTTTCTTTCTTTGCATGATTAACACCAAAATTCTTAGGTTTACAACTGAGGGTAGTCTCTCTGGGTTGTGTTTCCTAGGAAGAGAATCTCATAGTCCAGCTTGGTTCATGTGACCTACACTGGTCTGCTCATCTCTATCCACAGCAGGTGGAGGTCACACCTAAGACACAAGATTTACCTGGCCCTTAAAGGATCAACTCTCACAAGAAGAGACTGGTTGGCAAGACACCCCGTGTGACAATAAAGCTGGACTGGAAATTTGCGTGGTTTGAGAGCCCCCAAGGGATCAGTAAAGTGCACTCTGGGTGTGTCTGGGTGGGTCGTGGAGGCGTGGCCTTGGGTGCTATCTAGTCCCTGGGACCCTCCTCTGTGGCGCTGCTTCTCTGCTTCCTGGTTGCATGAAGCCAGCAGCTCTGCTCTACTGAGGAAAGCTGACCAATATGTTCTGTACTGATATCTACTACAGTACATAAGCGCTCATTACTACATTATAAACCAAGTGAGAAGTAGTTTTCCTATTTAAAGTTTAAACAACAAGCTATTAAAAATTTAAGTGTGGAACATAATCGGTAAAACAGGCATTCTCTAGTACCCATAGGCCAGTATAAATCAGTGTTACTATTTTGGAAAGTAATTTGCTTTGATCCAGTAATTATACCTCCTGGAATCTACCTTAGAGATTTATTCAGCGATATACTCAAAGATTCATGTTCAAGGACCTTCACCATAAAAGGAGAAAACTGGAAACAACTGGAAGTTTATTAATGGTTAAATGAATTATAATAAACACATAAAATGGAATATTAGGAAGTGACTATGAAAATAAAGAATTATAATCCAAAGCCAGAGGCTAACAGGTTTTTTTTTTTTTGGTAGCTAGCTTTCTGTGGTTTAATGTAGTTACATTAAGCTTGGTAGCTCCATTTTTCATTATGGAAAAAAACTACTAGAATAAAAGTGAAAAAGACTTAGTACTAATAGGAAGCAGAAGGCAGGACACAAACTGAAGTATCAGATAGGTGGTCAAGGTTGGTCTCTTTGAGCAGATGAAAGTTGACTGATCCCAGAAGGAGGAAAAGTTGTCTATGTAGATATTTGATGAGGGGTGGTCCAGGGAGAAGGAAAGCTTGACTAAAGACCCTAAGGTTGCGACTGCATTAGGCCTATTTTAGTGATTGTCAGGAGGCTCTGTGGGGAGAATGTGTGGGGTGAGCATGTGGAGAGATGAACTCGGAGAGAGAAGAGGCCTGGGGCTCGTAGGGCCTCTCATGAACTGTGAGGCTGTGGGCTTTCACTGAGTGCAGTGGGTGGGCCACTTTGATTAGCGGAGTGATGTTTATAAGGGCTGGGCATTGTGCTGAGAATAGACTCTCAGGGAAACAGCAACTTGTTTGGAGGCTATTACAGTAACGCCCAGAGATGATGTTGGCTTGGGCCAGGATGGGAGCCCTGCGAGCCGAGTGCACTGCTAGAACCGGAATAGGAAAGGGATGGGATGTTAGACTGAAAGAGTGAGAAAGGATCAGGGGTTTCATTGTAATAAAGGCAAATAGCATGCATGCTAAGAGTGAATGAAGGGGAAAGAAGAGTAGTCTGAGAATGGAGCTGTAGAACTAAAGATTTTGACAATGACACAGGTCTAGTTGATGTCACAGACCTATGCACGTGAGTGGTTGAATGAAAGGTCAAGGAAGGAGGAAGAAACAAGGGTAACAAACTTTAATAAATTCCATGTCTGTGACAAAAGCCTGAGATTGTGGCATGAAATCAAATGATACTAGAGAATTATAGTACTAAGCAATAAATATCGTATATACAATTTGTTAAGAAAAATTTTAATGAAAAATAATTGGAAATATGAGTAAGCATTTGATTCAAAGGGTGTCTGTGAGAACAAGAATGGGTATAACAAAGTTGATAAACTGGAGTAGCCAACACTGCATGAATCCTGCCTTTCATGCATGCACAGCTGTAAAGTGGAGTAAAATCTACAAAGCGACTATGTCTAGAATTGTGTGCTTTGGAATATGGGGGCAAGTGGGAAAGTCACACAGTATGATCTTTTACCTTTTTACTCTGATTTGGTTTGGGACTTGAAGAATTTTTTCCTTTTTTGTGAAGGAGAAACAATGGTGAAGACTCAATGGGACACTCATAAAGAGAAGCGTGGACCTTCTCAGCATACCGCTGGAAGTCCTCCACCTCCACATCTCTGTCCAGCCTGTGTTTATAAGAAAACGAAAAATAACTTTAAAAATATTGTTCAGAATTATATGATGAAAACTAAGCCAAAGAACTTTGGCAAGTAAGGTGTGTAGGTGTGTGTGTGTGTGTGTGTGTGTGTGGATGGGTCTTTACCTGTCATCTTAACTAGATCCTTGAAATTATCATCCAAACAATTAATTAAGAACTCTGTACTTGGTGCACACATCCTGAGTGATAAACATCTTTTCCCTGGTGCCTGGGACCACCTATGTGTTTCTTAGTCTATTAAATTCTTCCCTTGCTTGTTCCTGTTTTTAAGGAGTCCTTATTATCTTTGTTGGAGTCTCAGCTTAATGGCTTTTTTTTTTTTGTGGTACTGGGGATCGAACTCAGGACCTTGTGCTTGCGAGGCAGGCACGGAGCCACTGAGCTAAATTCCTGGCCCTAGCTTAATGGCTTTTTTTAAAGTCATACATTAAATTAAGAAGACTTTCTTAAACTTTGAAGAAAGATTATGGTATACCATTAATAATAGGTACAAAAATAATTACGTCTAATATTTATAGCTTGCTGTATAGCTTGTTGTGCTGTTCAAGATGCTGTCTGCATTTATTCACTTATTCCTTATAACAAGTTCACCAAACAGGTACTATTGTTATCTGCAATTTGCAGGTGAAGAAATGGAGGGTTTTTTGGTCACAGTCATACAAAAGCAAAAAACCTACACACAAACCCCAACATGTTAGTTGCACAAGCCCATATAAGCTTTTATTTATTACTCTCTAATATTATTATTTTTACTACTGGCTTGAGCTTCTTTCTCAATCACATAAATTCATTGATAATAAAAATATTATACCTGGTAAAGTAGGCGTTACTTATACAGCCAGTGAAATTGGCATACTGGGGACTGATGGGTGAGCCACCGAAGTAAAACTTCTTTTCACCTGCTTGATTCTGTTCTGCTTTCCCTTTGGTAGGATTCTTACTTCCAAGTCTGCTTTTGTCTACCACCAGTTCATATCTGCAAAAGAAAACCTCTTTATATAGCACACAGATACCATTTTACCTTGAGCTCCACTCTAGGTTGGATAAGCAGGTTTTCTCATGTAACTGAAATGGAACAGCCGGTTATCTAAGAGACAGAGGCCCAGGGTGGCTGAATATTTCCACATAAGAAAAAGATCCTTCAGGTCAAGATTGGAATTTAAACTCCTAGAGCAAGAAGGCCAGATGACAAGTTATCCACATTATTTTTTTGGTGGAGAAAAATGAACATACCTCATGGTGATCACTTAAACACATTTCTGGGAGACCATTTTTCTTTACAAAGCACACTGGATGATTTTTACTCTGTTGGAAACGGAGTCTAGAAAAGGCCCACAAATGGTTGGTTTTTTTGAAAAAAATTTCCTGCATTTCTGTTAAATAACTTTAGGGTGATTTTTCTGGGGACATCTTGAAAATTAAGAGCAATTATTTTAGTGCTAAGGTCGGAATGTTGGGCCTCATGTTTTTGAGGCAAACCATGTATCACTGAGCTACATTTCCAGCCCTCCAATTTTTTTTTTTTTTTTTTGGTACCGGAGATTGAACTCGGGACCTTGCGCTTGCAAGGCAGGCACCGTAACCACTGAGCTAAATCCCCGGCCCTCCAGCCCTCCAATTTTTAAAAAGAAGATAAGTCATTCTTTCTACCATTTTAAAAATATCAGAGAAGCAAGAGAATAACCAATTATTCATAATGGCATTGGACCGAATTATGGCCTACAAATGAAGGTATGAAGGGAAGAACGTAAGGCAGGAGCAGTACCTGGTAGGCGAGACAGAGGTGATGATGCAGTGGGACAGCCCGTCGTTGTACTGCTTATCTGACGACTGAACCTTGACTCCCTTTATGTCCATGACTACGGTACCGTTGTCCAGGGAGATGCAAAATGCGTCCGACTGAAATGCGAGTGGAGGGGTTCAGTAGGGAGTCCAGGGGTCCAAACGGACACAGTTTCAACATTTACTTAATAGTATCGCTTAAAGGAATGCAATGTGCAGGAAATTTGCTTGTAAATAATTTCTATGAACAACAACAACAACAAAAAGCCCGGTTTGCTTGTATTGGTGTTATTTATAAAATTATACGTTTTAATGGAAAAAGATACTCCTATATTTTGAACTGAAATTTTTTGGTGATTTTTCTCATGCTGAGAGTTGTTCCAGTCTCAATTACTTTCTACTTCGGGAATTTCTATCTATCAGTCTCATTGATGCCTTCTGAAAAGAAAATATTTGAATCTGTAGCTAGATGGAGAGGTAAGAGTTAATTTGTTTATTATTTGTATTATTTGTATTATTAAGAGGTTTATTTGTTTTGGTTCAGAGTTTGAACTTGGGACCTTGCGCTTGCGAGGCAAGGGGCAGAACCACTGAGCTAAATTCCCAGTCCATTAGGTGGGTTTTTGAGAATGCTTCATGTCTTCGTCCAGAGAGACAGAAAGGAGATTTCAAAAAGCACGAGTTGATGGCTCAAAAGCAAGACGGATTTAGCTCAGTGGTGCCGCCACCTGCCTCAAAAGCGCAAGGTACTGAGTTTGATCCCCAGTACCAAAAAGAAAAAAAAAAAAAGCATGAGTTACTTCTTTTTCTGAATTTGTTTATTGCTCATCTTAAGACATTGGCAAATGACAACTTGAGTTCTATCCAAAATGACTACTTTTTGTGGCCAGAAATGTTATTTAACTAACCTGGGTCATCTGAGGTAGATTTGTGGGCAGAAGTCCTACAAAATGCTTTGGGTTAATTCTCATAGATGCTACTGATTTAAATTAAACTGGATGTAAATTTGACAGAGAAGGGTAATAAATATGAAAAGTAAAAGCTGCGTTCAGAAATTATATTATGGGCTGGCCCACCAGTGTATATAGTGGTGATGACCTTTTCAGAGATACATCAGCTGTATCTTCCTCTACAAAGGTTTAATCTACTCTTAAAATAACATCTTTATAAGCCACAATAAAATGTTTTACAGCAAATCCGAGAACAGAGAGATATTTAAGTTTTTCTTATAAATTAAATTGCATGTATGTTCTTCACATACAGACATCCTTAATATGTGTTTTTTTGGGGGGGGCTGCCGCACGCACGTGTGCCATGGATGCTTTTGGCAGTTTGGTGATACATGCGGACCCTTTCATAAAATAATATTTATAAACATGTAAGGCAATATATTTAGGCACAGGGATGACTCCAGTTAAACTGATGTAGTTTTCAAAATACTAAGACAATACATCTGTGATATAGTAATGTGCACTTCTTTATTAAGGCATTAGTAAGATCTAGTAGAAGATGTAATAACTTCTATAATTTGGAAGTAGAAATGAGCAAAAATGACATTTTCAGATATTTGTGACAATTGTAATGTGAAATGAAATATATTTGTGTTTCTTTAAATGACAAAGTCATAGGTACTGTTAATATAACTGTGGTGTGCTGCCACCTTCATAATTGAAGAAAATGATAAATTTCAGATAGAAAAAATAAAGATCTCATTTTTTCCCATTCAAGATCACAGATTCCCTTGAATCCTGTGAGAGGTGAGCCTATGAATCCCAGGTTAAGAAATTACAAGGACTCTTCTAAATTGTAAGAACTCTTGTCCATTGTAGGAACTCTTCTATATTGTTGGTGGAAATGTAAATTAGTACAAAAATTATGGAAATTCCTCAAAAAACTAAAACTACAAATGCCATTTGACTCAGCCATTCCCCTTCTACATGTCTTCCTGAAAGGGTGAAAGGTATTATATTACAGTACATTAACATTCATGTTTATAGCCGCACAATTCATAATAGTTAAATCTTGGAGATGACCTATATGCCCATCAACAGGTGAATGGATAAAGAAAATGTGGCATTTATACACAATGGAGTGCTACTCTGCCATAAAGAAGGAGAAACAAGTCATTTATAGGAAAATGGATGCACCTTAAGACCATGATGTTAAGTGAAGTAAATCAAACACACAAGCTTAAATATCACATGGTTTTTCTAATATGAGAAACCCAAAATATAAATAAAGAGAAAAATTAAAGATAGATAATAGGGAGCATAGATATCTTTTTTCAAAGGGGAAGAGATCAAAAGATGGAGAGAGAAGGAAGGGAAGGAAGCAAAAGGAGATGAGAAAAGAATTGAGATGTGTTGTGCACATGTACCAGCTCCCCATGGGAAATATAATCATTACATAATGCAAACATATACCAATAAAACAGTAAAAATTGAAGAAAAAAGTGAAAGAAATGGAGAGAGAGGAAGATGGGTGAGGAAAGAAAGTAAAAATGATCAAGATATGATATGTGTATGTACCAATTCCCCAAAATGAATGTAATTATTATGTAGTACAAACCAATACTAATAAAAAAATAAATTAGGAATGTTGAGAAAAACAAACTCCAGATGTACAATGAATATATTTGCTAAAGAGTTTGAAATGAGTCATTTTGTTAGTGTAGGAGTGAGTCAAAATCGAAATTGGAAATCATATTTAGTATGCATAGAATTATTTTAGTAGAAAAAATGATTATCACAAGAAATTTCCTCAGGTGAAGCAAACACTTACCCCTGAAGCATAATAAAATAGTAACCCGTTTGGCTGTAATGTTCGGAAATTAAAGCCTCCTTCGAAGCCATCAAAGAAAGATATTTTCTGGGTTGAAGCAATGAAACTCTGTCCATTGAAATATGCTCTACGAGATATCTGTGTGATAAAAAGTCAATATAGTGGTTTTGATAATTAACAAATGTTTATAATGTCGATTTCTCATACACAAAGGGCCTTAGTTTCTATGTAAATAGTTTATGTTTTGACTTCTGCTCTATGCTGGAATTCAGGCATGTCCAGCCTTCCTTCAGTATTTTTCTAACACACGTGGTTTTAGCTTCTCCACTCCCTCCACCCCGAGTGACTGATGGTGCTCATCTGCCTCTCAGGCTCTGATGGCCCACCTGAGGCAAACTGAGGCAATGGCACAAGTCACGGAGCAGCCCCACAGCCCTTTCTTGCTTAATGATTCTTCTTTCTGCTGGTGGCAGAAAGGAACCCAAGATGCACCAAGGATTATAGAAAAGCTGAAAGGGGCTTTTCCAGCTTTTGAGAGCTTTATGTCTACTTATTTGAAAGCTTTTGATGAATGATACTTACAAGAGAGTCTTCTGGGCACCCATAGCCAACTCCTAAGGTTTCTTTCTGCTCTAGTAAATTGAAATCTTTCTTTTGGAACTGGAAACCCTTCATACACCCTCTGAAGTTGATATCTAAGGGAAGGTATCCTCTAAGAGTCCTGGAAAAGAAAATCAGTCTCCACTGAGAAAGTCATAACGATTGTGATGATGATTTTTAGTCTGCATACGAAAGCTTTGGGATCTGAGTTTATTTGTAGTAGTTTTACAATCATTCATATTCATATTCTCATGCTTCTTTGATAAGAAAACAGCAATGCCTAGTCTTTTCCTACAGAAGAGTTTTGTTCTGACTCAAGACAACTTATTACTTCTTCATAATTTCAAAAATCTTTTAACTTTTATTATTGCATTTATCATTATAACAATTCGGTGAGAAAGATGGAGATGCTATTATTTCCCTTTCATAGGTGATTATTATTTTGAGCCATAAGAAACTGATATATTGTAGGTCAATAATATCAATATAGGAATTAGAAAATAAATTATTGTCTCATGTAACCAGTAGTGAGTTAGGATTTGAACTCAGGTCTTTGAACTTTAACTAATCCACTTGGCCTTATGTGCAGAGCACACTGTTATTAACTAGGACTGGAGGAATCACTAGTAAAAGTTGGGCTGCTGGATTAATAGAAAAGTAAGAAATTCTTTATCCTTAACAGGAGTGATGGCATTCTGCTCAGTACTGTAATGGTTGTATTCATTATGCTTGGTACCTGGGAGATGCCCAAGAACATGTAACTGGATATTAAATGAATATGAAATTGGTTTTGGCCAAATGTGTTTTAGATGAACAGTGGCCAAACTAACAGTTCTGCCATGTTCTGCTCTGTCAGATCAACCGTGAAGGACTGTGGTCACTGATAGACTGGAGTGCGTCTAATAAGCAAACATAATGGCTGACATCCCACGTGAGATGGCAGAAGGATGGCAGAGGGTGTTAGTTTGGAAAGGAAGTATAGGGAGCCTTTAAAAAATATAAAGCATTTCACATGGGAGGAGGGTGGCATTGGCTTTGAATCAAGAGAGTAAGACTTTGTAATGAATAAAGTAGTTAAAATTAAATTTTTTTTGTCTTGTAAGGCAATCATACCTACATTATTAAATGTATTCAAAGGATGTGAGGGCTACTGGAGAGGGGTATTTTGTAGTGGATGAGGTAGGGCTCTAACAGCAATTTTAAACTTGTTTGGACAGTAGAATTCCCTGACGTGGGGAGTTTTTTCCTTTTTTATATTGAGACCTTAATACAGAATAGAATATCTGGAGGGTGGTCATGGACAACGGTATTTGTAAGAGCTCTCCAGACTATTCTAATGAGAACCACTGCACTAGATTATCTTAAAGTTGCCTCTCAGTTGGTTTGTTTATTTAATTATTTATTGCATATTTGTAATACAGAATGATGATGAGGAATTGCTATATGGTATAACATATCTTAATTATTTCAATTGGTTTAATGCTCTCTTCCTTTATTCTACCCTCTCTGATGTCCCTTTCCATCTCCAAGAATCTGCCTTCTAGTTTCCTATCATTTATTTATATTTTAGATTTCTGATATTAGAAAAAATGTGATATTTAACCATGCCTCTAAGACCCTTAAAGGGTCTCTGATTCTATGAATTGACTACAATAAGACAGCTGAAGTTTTGAATACACCAGAATAATATTTCATTGTGCATAATCCACAACTACCTGCATAACCTCAAAAATCTCTATACCCTCCAATGCTAGTGGAACTTCAAAATAAGTTTAAATTAATACTAAAACAAAAGTAAAGGTACGCAATGCTGTTTTGTCTTCACTCAGTACAGGTTTGCTCTTTTTCTAATTGAAGAGAAGTATTGCAACAGACTATGTTCTAAGAGTAAAGCAGCAACTAAAGAAAACTGTAAATTGCATCTAAGAAATGCTAATTGATGGAGGCCATGAGACTGGCTTCAGAGGGCCGGAGCCACAGGCCTGTGTGTGCCTGTGCCTCTGCACATGACTCCAAGCAGCAACAGGGTTGCTCCGACCCGCTGCTGAGATCTCTCAGCTACTGAGTACACAACAGTGTGTCACTGGGAACAGCCGTTTAATAAAAACGCCTCACCTGGATTGCAAGATTTCTGGGGGTGCTCCTCCAATATAGATATCTGTAAAAGGTATTTTCATCTTTTCATTATCCATGCTCTTGACATGTCTTCTGTCAACTACCAAAATCATTTTCTTGTCATTGTGGTAAATGATTGAGATCTGGGAGAAAGGATACATAGAAAGTCTTGATCAACTATTTAGTAGTTAACTTTCTGAAGTCTTCTATGTATTTTAATTATTCTGATGTTCCATCTCCTTGTGCTTTATTTTTCACAAAATGAACAATGAATTTTCCTTTCTTATTACTAGACATGAAAATTCTTGTTTTTACACACAGGAGTTCACATTTCCTGGGGAAAGATGCTTATCTGGAGAAGCAGCAGACCCAAGCAAAATTTTGCCCTGAGACCCATTATTTTCTCCCACTCTTCTAAGGGGATTTGAGAAAAACTATAAGAAGGTGCCATTTTCTTCCTTTAAAACAGCTTGAGGTATAATTGATATGCAAATATATGTACATATTTAATGGATATCATTTGATGAGTTTGGATATAAGCAAACACCCATCATATGATCACCACAATCAAGGTAAGAGATATATAAACACTTCCCAAAGTTTCCTTGTGTACTGTATATTGTATGTGTGTATATGTGTGCATGTGTTAAGCATGCTAAATACGAACTTTACACTCTTAGGAAATATTTGAGGTGCTGGGGATAAAACCAGGGTCTCACACATGCAAGACAAGTACTTGTTCTACCACTAAGCTACACCCCAGCAACAAATTTTGAATTACTGTTAACTATAGGCACTATGCTATTCATCAAATCTCTAGAACTTATTTTTCTAGCATAATTAAAGTTTTATACCCTTGAACACCAACTGTTCATTTTTCCTAAACTCTAAACCCTAGCAACCACTATTGTATGGTTAAGCAGGCTCCTTCTGGATTCCAGATTGCAGACACCAGGTGCCGTTTTTTGGTGACATGGTGAACAACTCCAATGGATCTGTTAGAGAAATAGTTAAAGGCTTCCTTTCCTGTAATCTATCCTCAAGAAGGCTATGGACTTTGACCTAAAAAGGGCAATATAGCTTTCTACTTCCTACATTTTGGTTCGATTTAAAAGATATTAAACCTTTTACATGTTTCTTTAAATTGTATACACAAAATAGTTGTTAATGAAAATACATGAGGAATATTTTCAGCAGACTGCAGATCTCATTGAAGACTAAAAAGTATCCTTCTTGAGCTGTCTTCATAAGCAATACTAGTGTTTTCTAAATTCTATATAACCGGTTAAAGGAAATTCTGTGTTTACTTCTATCTACTTTTCAATTTAGAGTGTTTCAAAGAATAAGTGAATAAATGGCTTTGTATTTACATTCTAACATGTTCAAAATGTATTAGGTTCTGTAAGAGTTCTATTGTAATCCAGATATTTAAGATTAACAGTAGTTTTTTGGCCAATTAAGTAATTCTTAGGAATTGTCCAGTGAATCTTTTTTTTGGTACTGGGGATCGAACTCAGGACCTCGTGCTTGCGAGACAGATGGCAGAACCACTGACCTAAATCCCTGGGCCTCCAGTGAATCTTTTAGTAGAAATTTCAATAGGACAGAACCATCCACTCTTTTTTAAGCAAATATTTTCCTGGGGTTGAGCAGGTGAGGATCTTTCAGTTGTTCTTTAGAAGTGAAAGTATCTAGTACTATTACATCTATCTAATTTGAACACTTGTTTAGATCAATAGATCTAACTACAAAATCTCAAGCCTCCCAGACTATAATAATTGTACCTCATGATATTTTGCATCATTAATTTGGGCTTTCTTCATTGTGTCTTCAAGATGCACAGGGCCATTGCTGAATCCAAAGTCATAGAGCACATGCAGGTAACCACTGCGCATTTCCAGGCTGAAAAACATGCTCTGTAGAGAGAAAGAAGTTTTAACATAGGAGTTGCTATTGTAAAAGTAGAGCAGAGTTACATTTAACTCAGTTTGAGAAATCACCTTCTATTCCTTTCACTGAAATTATTTCAAGACTTAAGAAAGTCTCCTGAAATTCTTATTATGAAGTAAAAATGATAATTACTTTCATATTAGCAGTTATTTTTCATACTAATATACTAAAATGTTTAACACAGAGAAGCTGCAATAATTTATAATAGAAGTAAAGAAAAGGGCAAGAAGCCACTCTGAGCCTTTCTAGTGTGGAATTCCAAGTGTACCAAGTGAATCCTGTGCAAGTCTGAAAAAAACAATAAAATGAAGGTTTACTTACATACATTTGAAAATATTTACCTTCTTTTGTTTTTATTCTACTTTATAAATTGATGGATGAAGTTTTAAGTCTACTTTATTGACCTTTTAAAATTCTTCAAAACAGAGTAGAATACACCATGTTTATTTAACTGGCTGGTCTTTAGGCAACTTTGAAAACTCTAACAGGCCAAAAGATTCAATTGCCTTCATTTTAAAATAAAAATTGATAATATTGAAAAATAATTACAAGGTATGCTGAAAATAATCTTCCCTTAAGTAGCAACAAATATGGATATAAGACAAAAAGATCATTTCTTTATTAAAGAAGGTCATTTCTGTATTATTTTGAGTCACTGGATTTATGTAAACAAATATAAAGTTATTATGCACTTGGGCCACATGGTATTTGAAAACCAAATTATGTAATGCTTGCAGAGAACCATAATATTGATTATGTCCAAAGCACACTGGGAAGAGTTAACCCCACAACTGGCTTGTTTATAGAAGT